CTTGAGTTGCAAAATGAGTTCCCTAAGAATGCCATGAGAGCACTTCGTAGTGACAATGGCACAGAATTCAAGAATACTCATTTTAAAATCTTTTGTGCTTGTTTGGGCCTTGAGCATCCGTTTTCCTCTCCTTATGTCCCCTAGCACAATGGCGTTGTTGAGTGAAAGAATTGGACCCTTGTTGAGATGGCTAGGACGATGCTCGATGAGCACAGGACTCCTAGGAGATATTGGGCCGAGGCGATCAACACAGCTTGCCATGTCTCCAATCGCATTTTCCTTCAAGCTTTCATGAAGAAGACTTCTTATGAGTTGCGATTCGGACGACCACCCACGGTAAGTCACTTCAGGGTGTTTGGATGCAAATGCTTCATTCTGAAACAAGGTAATTTGGACAAGTTTGAGTCCAGGTCTTCCGACAATATTTTTCTTAGTTATGCTTCTCACTCTTATGCATATCATGTTCTTAACCATGAAACTAACCGAGTTGTGGAGACCTTTGAGGTCACATTCGACGAAACCATGCCTACTCCTGTCTTTGATTATGCAGGTGATCAGGAGATTGGTGAGGGCATCTTTGTGGAGGAGGAAGATGCGGATTGGTGTGATCCTGAGCCAACTCCACCGGCTGCCCCTCTCAAGCCTGCGACGTCTACTTCAGCTAACGGCCCCGATCCCTCTTCTTCTACTACATGGGGTTCGTTCGAGCAGCCTCCTCAGCCGGCGCCGGCTGCACCTAAGGAGGCCCCAGCTGCTATTGAGGGGGAGGCAACTTCTTCAAGGGAGGCACCAGGACACATTCAGCGTCGTCACCCACCTCAGACCATGGCCAAATTTGAAATGGTATATAGACCAAAAGAACAAAGAGGTCTAGGCTTTATCAATACCAAGCAAATGAATGACTGTTTGTTAGTCAAATGGATTTGGAAAATTCATTTAGAGCCAAATACTCTTTGGTTTTAAATCTTAAAAGCTAAATATGTGAGAGCAGGGGCGGGGTTCTTTGACTCTAATACAATAGGAAGCTCTCAATTCTGGAAAGGGTTGCATAAGGTTAAACATCTCTTCAAATGGGGAGCAATTTTCAAGGTCGAAAATGGGCTGTAATGTAGATTTTGACAAGAGTGTTGGTTACTGGATGTACCTTTAAGACTGGCCTATGAGTAGGGATGAAAACGGATCGGATACGAACGGATATCACTCATATTATATTTGTTTTCATATTTCTGTTCGGATTCGGATTCGGACACGGATAGCGTTCGGATACATATACGAATACGGATTGACTCGGTTACGGATACGAATAATGAGTATCGAATACGGTATGAATTGGATTCGGAGAAGGTCGGATACAAATATCTATTCGGATATTGAGTAAAAGCAGCATATATATATATATATATATATATATATCATACGTGCGCAAACCATTACACCACTCTATGAGTCCATAATCCATCTAGATTAAGCCGAAAGACTAAAGAGTAAAGCAACAAATAAGATAAAGATACAGATACATCATACATCAAACATCATATAAGCACCAATCTTCGCGGCATGAGTAGAAATAGCCAAGCACATTGCTTCATGGGTCTCATGGAGTCATGGTCATGGATTCAAGATCTACAATCCTTATATAGGCCATTTTTTCATTTTGAGAAAGTTTGAACAAAATGTAGTTCAAATTTCACAAGTGTGTGACATAGTTTTAGAAAGTCTGTATGAGATTTAAGAATTTGTGACTAGTGTTTGATAAAACTTTCTCAAATGGGAAAATGAGCTATGTAACAATTGTATATCTTGCTGAGATGATCAAACTTGGTATTCAGAGTTTTTTCATCTGAGGTCATTTAGTGTCTCATTTGAGCAAGTTTGACCAAGTCAAATTTGGTCAAATGAAAAAACAACACTTTGACTCTAGTATTATGAACTCTAAATGACTTCAAATTGAAAAGTTTTGAATACCAAGTTTGTTCAACTCATCAAGATCTACAATTTTTGTTTTGGTCAACTTTCCATTTGAGATAGTTTGGACGGTTCAAATTTGTGATTTTTAAATTTCGATGCTTACAAACTAGTTTTCGGAACCCTAGATTGTCTCAAATTGAAAAGTTTTGAATACCAAGTTTGTTCAGCTCATCAAGATCTACAATCCTTATATAGGCTATTTTTTCATTTGAGAAAGTTTGAACAAAATGTAGTTCAAATTTCACAAGTGTGTGACATAGTTTCAGAAAGTTTATATGAGATTCAAGAATTTGTGACTAGTGTTTGATAAAACTTTCTCAAATGGGAAAATGAGCTATGTAACAATTGTATATCTTGCTGAAATGATCAAACTTGGTATTCAGAGTTTTTTCATCTGAGGTCATTTAGTGTCTCATTTGAGCAAGTTTGACCAAGTCAAATTTGGTCAAATGAAAAAACAACACTTTGACTCTAGTATTATGAACTCTAAATGACTTTAAATTGAAAAGTTTTGAATACCAAGTTTGTTCAACTCATCAAGATCTACAATTTTTGTTTTGGTCAACTTTCCATTTGAGATAGTTTGGATGGTTCAAATTTGTGATTTTTAAATTTCGACGTTTACAAACTAGTTTTCGGAACCCTAGATTGTCCCAAATTGAAAAGTTTTGAATACCAAATTTGTTCATCTCATCAATATATACAATCCTTATATAGGCCATTTTTTCATTTGAGAAAGTTTGAACAAAATATAGTTCAAATTTCACAAGTGTGTGACATAGTTTCAGAAAGTCTATGAGATTCAAGAATTTATGACTAGTGTTTGATAAAACTTTCTCAAATGGGAAAATGAGCTATGTAACAATTGTAGATCTTGCTGAGATGATCAAACTTGGTATTCAGAGTTTTTTCATCTGAGGTCATTTAGTGTCTCATTTGAGCAAGTTTGACCAAGTCAAATTTGGTCAAATGAAAAAACAACACTTTGACTCTAGTATTATGAACTCTAAATGACTTCAAATTGAAAAGTTTTGAATACCAAGTTTGTTCAACTCATCAAGATCTACAATTTTTGTTTTGGTCAACTTTCCATTTGAGATAGTTTGGATGGTTCAAATTTGTGATTTTTAAATTTTGAATAAATATCCGGATAATATCCGTTTTTAAATATCCGGATATATCCGATACTTATCCGGATTATCCGATATCCGCCGGATATCGATGATATTACATCCGTATTTGATATCCGCCTAAGATATCCGTTTTAGTATCCGTATCCAAAAAAAAAACCGGATATCCGAGTAACTATCTAGATAAGTGTTCATATTTGTTCGGTCGAACGGACGGTCGAATAAATATCCGTACCGTTTTCATCCATACCTATGAGGATCTTTTCCCCTTGGCCAGAAATCCTGATTGTGTTGTCAGTGATTGTTGGGAAGGTGATGAATGGTTTGTGGAGTTTAAGAGGGCTCTCTTTGTGCAGGATTATGACAGATGGTTAGAATTGAAGGATACATTGTCAACTGTCACCTTAACTGACAACCAAGACTCAGTCATTTGGGTTTTAGATTAGTCTAGGAAGTTTACTACTAAATCTCTCTATAGATTTCTCACTGATAGAGGGGTGGCCAACAAGGTTGTTGGGTATATCTGGAAATGAAAGACCCACTGAAAATCAAGTTCTTTTTGTGGCAAATCTTTAATAACAAACTTTAGGTGGGTCAAAGTCTGACTAAAAGAAGGTGGCATGGCTCTGGTAATTGTTGCATTTGGGGCTGTCCTGAAACAGTGGATCATATCCTTTTTAAATGCTTTCTGTCCAAATTTATTTGGTCTATTATTGGGGAGATCTGGACACTTGATTCTACCCCTACTTCCATGATGGAGGCAGGGGGCCGATGCCGGCACGGTTACTTATGTTCATCTTTGCAGGATTCGCTTAGGCTCTCTAGACGACCAGGAACAAAATGACGATTGAGAAAAACTTCCCTAAAGCAACTACTGATGTCATCTATGCCGCGATCTCATCGATGCAGAAATGGAGCATTCTACTAAAGGAAGAGGACACAAGGCGGATCTTGCGATGAAAGGAATCCCTGCTGGGATGGCTGAAGGCGTTTACTCCTAGTGTAGCAGCTATTACTGATATAGTTGAGATCTAAAGTGTGCGTTGCTGTATGAGCTTGGGAACGTGTTGGTTTACTTGTAGCTGATAACCCCAGGAGATACTTTTGATGCTTTCTTATAAGCAGAGGTAAAACTCAAAAAAAGCATGCTAGCACCATCCTGTGAGTTCCTCTTACTTCTCCTCTCTGGTAAGATTGGACCTGGGCTTTTTTCATTACCCTCTAGACTCTCCATAACCTGATCAATTACAACTCCTTGCTGCTCCTTCCTTAAATCCAATGCCTCCTCCTAAGTTTGCTGATTGTTCAACTCTTAACAGTTGTATAACCATTCAGTTGGCAGATTTGACTCCTCACTAGTGACTATCCTCACAATGTTATCTTCTGGATTCACAGCCCAAACTTCCTCTTCATCTTGTAATTTAACGAAGTTATTTTTAATCTTGTTTGAGCTCTGTGTCCGTCTGTCGTTAGAATCCGAGCCAGGGCTTGCGTATTGACTTAGCTTCCACAACATTGATTTATAAGTACTACACAGTCTTGTGGTGGATACTCCTAACCAAGTTTAACTCCTAATTCAGCTTTGTTCTATGATGTATCCAGAGGAAAGTGTTTGAGCACATGTATGTTGACCAATACTGTAGAAGGAAAAAATAGATAAGGTACAATACATTAACGCGGTATAGAAAATTCTTATGATTATTTTGGAGGGGAATGAAGTTCCTGGTTACATGAAAGCACATTACCAGAATTGCATATTTGAGAATTAAATAAAGCTAAGGGTTGGATAAACCGGTATATGGCGCACATGCTGGCACACAAATATAAATGTTGAAAAGGGGTCCGATTAGCTGCTTGTGCGTTCGGACTCGACTCGACGCATGCATGCTTGCGATGGAGAGCCTAGGCCACGTGAACGGCGGGGCCCTGGCGGCTCACGAAGACGTCGACCACGTCCCTGCTGGGCAGCATCGCCGGCGCGGCTGCTTCAGCTGCGCAGCTCCTGGTGGGAACCGCCGCCACCGCCATCTGGGTGGCTCGGTGCACCCCAGAGCTCCTCTCGGGGAGGACGGGGCTGAGCTTGGCGATGTTGACGACGACGTGCTCGTCTGCAGCTGAGGGAAGCTTGCCGCCGGCATTCTTGCCCTCGGCAACCGCCACCGGCGTCTTGTTCATGTACAACACGTAGAGCACCATCTGGACCACGCCAAAGATGAACCCAAGGACGTTTGGAAGCTGCAGAGATATGACCATAGTTTACCATCTAAGACTCATCATCACGAGACACATGGTGGTTGGAATAAATTAAATTAAATAGTTACCGCGACATATTTGTCCTTGATGAGGAGGCCGTAGAGGAACCAGACAACGGCGCTGAGGGTGAGCGAGAGGGAGAGCGAGAAGGGCATGTACTCCACGCTCTTCGTCTGGATCACGCGCCTCTGCACGTAGCCACCAACACGCATGCAATCCATTAGTAACGACACATCAAAACTGTTGATGCTACGGTGATTGGATTCATTTGTCCATGCTCACCATGATGCTCAACGGAGCCACAAAGACGCTGATGGAGAAGCCGACGCAGATCCATCCGAGCATGACAACGCGCTTACCACCCTTGAAGAGGAGAAGGGTCAGGAGGAGGATGACCCCAAAGACGCCGACATTGAGGAGGAGCATGATCTTGGCCGTGAACAACTTGGCTTTCTTGGGCGCGTACACGAAGTACATGACGATGTAGATGGTCTCGATCACGCAGCCGGCAGCGTTGATGGTGATGAGGAAGGTCTCGTTGGACTTGATCAGTGCATAGAAGATCCACAGCATGGCGCTGAACAGGGCAACCACGTAGGGAACCGACTGGAAGCCCTCCGTCGACTTGCTCTTGTAGATGCGGTAGAACGTCGGTCTGTATGCACCATGGGCGCAAGGATCGTCAGACACGAGCATGCATGTCATCAATTTCTAAACAGTTGTAACGAATAAAAATGGACAGAAATGTTTCAATTCAATGATGCACATCTCAAGTAGTGATAATTTAGCAAACAAGTCACTTACATCGGGGCCAGGAAGGTCATGAAGGAGATGACGTTGCCTGCAAAGCCAAAAAATGGGGCCAAGATCAGCCATTTGAAAAAGTTGCGAAAGAGAGCCCAAACAAAGCTGGGATAAGTTGTGATAAGCTCACACTTTACATCTCCAGCCGGTCTAATTTGCCTTTTGTTGTGAGCAAAGATTGGCGAGGCTTTATTGTTAATTTCCAAGGCAAGGTTTTTGTGGTATATTGCAGTAGTGCACTATGACGTCATTAGACCCATCATGTGCTAAGATAACCCTAAATGTCGTCTCAAAAGACCAGTTCCTAGCTCGACACGTAGTCTATTACGAGAAATGTATAAGCCAACAAAAGCATTAATCAAAGATGACAGCGGTGATAAAATCTAGTGATGCATGCTTCTAGTGCAACTAACTGAACTAAGTTAGTGATTATGACCACAAGAAACGTCTTATTTTGGGAAACACTTGGAAGGCAGCACAGGCTCCTCTACGTACTATTGGTTAACGATCAACTTAGAGCAAATCTCACTAAGTGGCTTCTATAGTACCAGGCACTAACAGCTAACGATTGATAAGATATTTCTGAATACACCATTATAGCAAAATGTAAAGTACATGCTAATGTATGGAACCTAGCAGAAAATATAAATATTTGCAAAATTCATGGCCTTTGCAGCTCTTCATCAGTGAAAATGTAATATATATGTACCTAGAAGGCCGAAAGCGAATGCCCAGGGGTGCTGCAGAGATAGGCCAGCCATTGCGACTCGAAAAGGGTGCTACAAATAATATGGTTGCAAGGCAGCTATACAACTGAACTAACAGTTCTGTTGTTAGGCTCTGGAACTACTTCTCTTCCTCTCTTTCCGTTTGGCCCTTGCATAAGGGGAACGAAGAGCTCTGAGGAGAGTTCTCTGTGTTGTTGTCAGAAACTCTGGCAGTGATATGCAGGCTGTGGGGGGCTTTATATAGGAGGTGGCACGCATGCCTTGGTATACATGTGAGTTGTGACATTGTGTACGCATCTGCAGCCTGCACTAGGCTCTCCAATCACACCTAAACCCCAAACGATTAAGCATGGAATGTAATTCAAAGATATTTTTCAATGATATATTTCTGGACATGATGAATAAATGTTTTTAATAAATTGATCTATACTAATAGAGATAATCATGGTCGTTGCATAAAGAGTTAGCTTTGTGCAAGCTTTATGAGTATAATATATGGGCTAGTGCTAGGGTAGTACACTCCGAATTGTTGTGCACTGCCCGTGGAACTCTCCAACCTGCTTCGCATACATCATTAACTAATTAGGATCGAGTAGGAGCAAGCCGCCATATAACAGCAAAATTGATCTTCAGTTCTTCACAACTTTCGTCTCTAAAGGCAGATTTACTTCATTCCATTATCAGTTTAGTACCAAGTAATATCTTGTAATTTAACAGTAAAATTTATTCATGGTTTGGGGAAAATATTATACACGCTATACCACAGCCCATCTTTATCGTCTTCCCATGTGTCGTTATAAGCCGTTTTAATGACCTACCGTCGGTCGTTATATATCTATACCGACTCTTCTATATGACATTAATTAAAATAGTATTGCTCTTTTAAGTTATATTATATACTGAATAAAAAGCGTAAAGTGGTAAAAAAATACGTGTGGTTGCACTTGTTTACTGTAATTTAGGCCACCGTAAAATGCGTTTACAACCTTATTATGCATGCTTCACTTTTCTGAAACAATTCTTCATGGAAATTAATTTCCACTGCTCAGCTTCAAAACACTTCACTTTTATGAAATAAAACGGCCTCTGATGGACGACATAAAACCATGTGTTTGACTCCTCACCGTGATTATTTGAGGCAAAATAAAGTAGCTAGTAGCTACTAAAGTGGCTTATTAAAATTGGGGCTCCATGTGGAAAAGAACGGTTTCAAATGGCTCTTTTCGAAAGCTGGTGTCCAGATGTGATCTCCTTTGGAAGATATATACATCATAATAATGTACGGAGTATGTTCTTTGTATATACGTGTAATTCACATATGTCATATACATGGTGAGCAAGGGCTCTTTTAAACCTTTCATTTAATAATAACATATCATATTTTAAAAGCTTCATGCAACCATGTTGTATATTACTCTGACCATTTTAATATGTGAGAGTTCAAAATAATTAGTTAGAACTGATTATCTTGTTGTAAACGTTATATATAATTAAAAAAAGAGGCGGGGGCACATGACTTTACGATACCATGTGCTTAATTATTCAAATTTTAGGTAACAAGTTGTTGCTGTCCTGTTTCACTGCTAATAGCCCACTTTTCCACAATATTACACATGATTATCAAATAATCACCACAATCCAGGAAAAAAAGATTTTAGTCACAGTGGCCACGTGCACTCAGTGTTGGAAAATACTTCTTCCTTTCCAAATTATAAGTCGTTGTGACCTTTTTTAGATACATTGTTTTTACTATGTATCTACACAGGTTTAAGTGCATAGTAAAACCTATGTACCTAAAAAGCCAAAACGATACATAGTGAAAACCATGTATCTAAAAAAGCCAAAATGTCTTATAATTTGGAATGGAGGGAGTATGTCAATATACCTTAATTGAAAAAGATAAACTACAAGCAAGAAAACTTCTAATATTATGTTCTACAAAATTTTGGATTGGCACATGAAGGAAACAAACTTCAGCAGCCTATGGATAACAACCGGCAATATTTGATATACTCTTTGAGTGACCAGATGTCAGGCTCTTACCGTAGTGGATGAGGTTTTTGTTTGCATAGGGTTCCTGTTTGTACTGAGTTTAATATGTAATGATAGTAGCTTTCATGGTAGCACTTTTCTATGTGGTGCTCATAAGTGTGTTACTGGTGGTCTGAATATATAATTTCACCAAGTACTAGCTTGTTTTCAGATTCTGAAAATAGATCACTAAGTGCTTCTTCAATTTGAAAACCACATACATTCCAGCAAAGGTTGAACTTGCATCAAATTCAACATATCATTCACTTATAATCAAGACAGAAGGTGCCATACACATTACAATGCTTTCCTAGGAATTTAAGAGGTCCACATCTCACATAGGTAGCAGTTACATTCAGGTGTCTATTGTCTCATGTAGCACTCTTTTTCCCCTTCTTTGGAGTCAGCAGCTTCATGACAGCTATGTCTTCACTGGAGACTGCTTTGGCCTAGGTGGGGTGATCACAGGATCAATTGCTCCTTCTCCAATTTGACTGAAAAATGTAAAGACTTAGGCAAGATGAACAAGAAAATGTAAAGTCTTGACAGCTGTAGCTTTAGGGGCTGTGGGCACCTGAAATGAACATGGAGTCATTCTTGCAGAAACTAGTACTGCATAGCCATAGTACAACATGGAGTATCCATCAGGTTCTCTGAAATATATTTGAAGCATCACATTGTAAGTAAGAGCGATGAAAAAAATATAATGTTAAATAAAAAATGAGATTGCACATTGTTCAAAAACTCACATGAGCATGATTTTTTTCGTACTTGCTGTTTTCGGAGTCTTTTTGCCACGGGGGCATCCTCTTTATGGCCATTTCTTAGGTATGGAGTTAGCTTGCTTGCCAAAATCATAGGGAGGATGAATGTATCAAAAGAAGGGACTTCATTGGATTGATTGAACTCTTCCTCGTTCACTAAATTTTCAACTCCGACAACCTACTTTTTCCTAGGGAGAACCACTTGTCGTTTCTTGTTTCTAGTGTCGCGCACATAGAAGACTTGGGAAACCTGACTTGTGAGTGCAAATGCCTCTTCCCTGTACGCAACTTATTCAATGTTGGCAGTAGTGAAGCCATACTTGTCTTTCATGACACCATGTCTTCCCTGAACCCATCGACATCGAAAAATGGGCACCTTGAAGCCAGGATATGAGAGTTCCTATATCTTTTCAATCTGACCATAGTACGCTACCTTCTGCAAATTGTTGTCAAATGCATCTACATGAACAACACAGTTTTGGTACATGTTTTTCTTGTCTTGATCAATGGTGTAAAAGGTGTAGCCATTTATGTCATAGCCTTCATAAGTTGTGATTGTGAAGAAAGGGCCCTTTGCCAGCTGTCGAAGCCTTTCGTCTATGCAAGAGCTTGAATTGCAAAGTTGATCTTTAAACCAGATGTTGTACCCACTCATATGTGCCCTCACGAAAGAAGCTTCGCCTCAGAGAGGATTTTGTTGCCTCAACATCTCCATATGCTCTTCAATGTAAGGTTCCTCTTTTGTTGTGTGTTGTAACACTAGAAAGTGGGCTCATTCAAAGGCATCTAGATCTAGAGTAATTTGCTTCTCCCCAACACACCCTCTCCCCGCTAGCCTTCCCTCATGGCGAGACTTGGAGATGCCGATTGGATTAGTGGGGTCAATGTAACCGAGGCCCCAGCCGACCACCTCCTTAGTAGAATAGCACTGCTCCATGTTTTCCTTAGGGTGTGGCATACCTATTTAGAGTAATCATAAATCTCTCATACGGATACATGTGGTTGAGGAACATCGGTCCAAGATACCCGATCTCCTTGACCAAATGTACAATGAGATGGATATGTCAAAGAAATTTGGTGGGAGGTAAGCCTCAAGAAGACACATCGTCTCACACATGTTCTTTTGAAGATTATCTAGTGATCATTCATTAAGGACCTTTTGAGAGATTGCATTAAAGAAGAAGCAGAGGCTCATGATTGCCATTCGAGGTTTTTCTGGCAATATGTTCCAACACCAACTACAAGTATTGTTGTGAGCATGTATCACAATCATGAGCCTTCATGGGTGGCATTTTGTTTTCTCTTGCTAGCACAAGTTTTCAGTTGTTGGCTTCGTATCCAGAGGCAACTTTGAAACTACGAAAGAAGTCGCACAATTCCTACTTCTCTTGTCGGGTTAGGTTTGTGGCTCATAAAGGTGGCTAGACACTAGTACCGTCAGCACAGAGCTCGGGCCTTATGTCCAATTCCTCAAGGTCGGCTCTTGCTTTTGCATGGTCCTTGGTTTTCCATTTGTCATTCATGAGTGTCTCAAGCAAACTCCCACAGACATTCTTTTTCACGTGCATGAGATCGATGTTGTGGCAGACCGCTAAGTCTTTCCAGTAAGGTAGTTCCCATAGGATTGACATTTTCTTCCACCTCTTCTTACTAGAACTCTTTGTAGTGTGCTTTTGCTTTATATGGATAGTGCTTAGCTCTCTAGGTCAACTGTAGGTTTGGTATCTATTGACGGTCACTAACATCCATTTTGACCATCAAGATTTCACCCAAAAGCTAAGTAAAGTGAGGCAAAACATCATCACATGTGTTGAATTTGCTTTATAATTCATCTTGTTCCACTTGTACTCGTAGAATTATTTGTATGCAAGAATTTTGGCCAAACTAGTGCAAAATATGAACAAAAGAGGCAAGCGGACGTGGCAGTGGGCCTTGGGCCCACCTTGCCACATCGATCAGCACCACCTAGGCACCGCCTGACCCCACAAGTGGCCCTGCCACATCACTGGTCCATGGTAGAGGCTCTCCAAGGCTTCTCCACCATCGATTCAATGTCGGTTTGCTTCAAAGGTCAAGATGGAGTGGCCTTGGATCCATGGGTCCACTACCATAGACTTGGAGGCCTCCAACCGACGTCCAAACCGACCTCCTACCCAAACAACCGACTTACCTGCACTACTAGGAATATCTACTTCTATGACGAACAACTTTCGTCATTGAAAGAGCCAAATTCGTTAT